AATCAAAGCAGTCTTTATCCTATTGCAGACAACGAGAGCATTTGAGATGTCCAACATATTAAAGCAATTTTATAATTAGACAGCTTTTTGGTTGTTCTTGGGGTATCCCTTTCATTGTTCTTGCAGCTCCCCTTTTACTGTGCTTCTTACGCACAAGGCTGCCCACGTTGATTGTGGTTGAGCGGCAGCTGCCCACATCCCCGTGTGCCTCCACGGCCCACTTGCACGTTATTTCAGGAGGCAGAGTAAAAGGGAAGGTATGCTCCTGTGGATCTTCAGCTTATACAGCTTTTGTGTCCGTCCTTCATCTTCATACTTCCATTCATTTCATTTCTGATCTTCATATTGTCTATTCTCTTAATGATGCTCATTCGTATGTATTTGTTAGTAGTACAAAGGGAGTGGAGGGGAGGGTGGAGGGTAAGAGATAGAAGGCGGAGTTCTCTAGGAGTATGGGGCAGGGGAGGTAGAGGCAACGGGAAGGAAATAAATACGTGGAGGGCAGGATAGAGTGACATGCAAGAGCAGGGGAAAGGTGTATGACGGGTCTCACAGATTTCTAAATATTCACCACTGTGAGTTGCCACCCCTACAGACCGGACAGGACCGGTTCGGGTGTGGGCTATGGAAGCACCGCATCCAATTTTCACAGTCACAGTTGCTGCATCGAATGGCACGGCGCAGACAGATGTCACAGGCTACGTGGCTCGTACATGCTAGGAACACAGGCACGTCGACCGCAATTATAGAGGCATTGCCGTTCCAGCCCGTGTCTACAAATTGGACATGACATGTCGGGGTGCCGTACATGAGTACAGTACTGACTGTCATTGTACGTATGGAAGCAAAAACTCGCATGGACTATACCTTCATAATCCTCACGGCACAAGGCAGGTGAACCACATGCTAGTTGAATCTCCGGCGGGTCATCACAAAACGGCATGGAGCATCTTTCTTGGGCTTCCTCAGTATGTATTCCTTCTCTGTGGGCAGACGACGACAGGGAGGATCGGTCCAACGCAAGGGCATTCAGCTGCTGCAGGATATGATCCGCAACAGCCCGCCCTGGTGGTGATAGACTATGAGCAAATCGCTCTGTCGGTGGCTCATATAGAAGTCTATTTTCCTCCTCGGACTGCTGTGTTCGCCGTTCCTCTGGCAAGAAAGAGGGAGATCCGTCAGCAGTTGCCGTAGGTGTATGACCAATGCCGCATGTGGGACATGCTAGGAGAGGATGTGGAGGGTAAAGACACATACTTTCTATGACAGCTTCCTGGAAGCATTGACGACACATGGCATGTTGCTGACATGTCATTTGTATGGAAGACTGACATGCACAGTTATTTAAGCATGGCAGGTCAAGGCCACAACGGCATGCTGGGCAAGTAATCAGGGGGTGGGGGGGAATGAGCACAGGACTGGGGATCACAATTTTTGTGTGAGAGGCTAGCAGCGACCATCCCTTCATAGTGTTCGGAGCAGAGGCTATGTCGTGTACATGCCAAATGAACTGTACCTGTGCGACGACACAACGGGAGGACACAACCATCATCCTGTGGAGAGGTCCTTTCACTGTTTGTGGTAGAATCAGCAGGATTGCTCTCCGGGGGGTGCAGTGCTTGCAAATGCTCATCGACATACTGTTCATGATGGATGAGCCAGACTGAGTGACCTTCCAGCATTTGGTGATAGAAAGAGTTAATATCTCCCACTGTGTGCACCCTACCGCCATTGTCCCATAGGGTCCATGAACTATCTGCAAAGGTAAGAGCACTGAAGTGACCTGGACGATATAAGATATATACCCGAATATTCGGATCCGTGCCTGGCTCGTGGTTTTGCGGAGCAGGCTGGAATTGCAGTCGCCTACCCATAAATGTCATAGCCAGGACTTCTAATGGAATTCACAATAAAAATGATATTGTTTAAAATTAATTGTGATATGATAAATTATAGAAAAAATTAAAATAAATCAATCCAATATAATAAATGGTGAAATTACGTTTAAAACGGAATGGTAAAAAGCAGCGTGTGAATTGATACTCATTAACTGGTAAAAAAATCCCTATTATGATTGTATTTCTAAATAGAATATTATATTTTTGAATAAATCGAATATAAAAAAAAAAAAAGTCAGAATCTTTTCTTGAAGAAATGACAAGAGAATTTGAAGCCTGAAAAAATGAATCTATGGCTAATCTAAAATTCACAATATAGATAAGATAGTGAATAAGAAAATTAGATCCGTTATACAGATTCTCTTAGAAAGAATCATCTTCAAGTTCAATAGAATCAAAATGAGAGAGAAGAACCAACAAAATTTAATACATCAAAAAGGACAGAAACCCAAGTGCAATAGTATGGATAGGAACTTGCACAACCGAAATCATTAAAATGGATCTTGAAGGAATGRCACCTAAATTAGAAGCAGAAATTGGGATACCAATTGTTGTAGCTAGGGCTMATGGATTAGATTATGCTTTTACACAAGGAGAAGACACAGTATTAGCATCTATTGTTCACCATTGGCCCAATTACAAGCTCCAAAATAAGACTTATTTAAATGATAATGATGCCCAAGAAAACATAACTGGATTTTCATTTTTACAACTAAGAAAAAACAATATTCAACTACTCTTTATGTCATGGGTTACGTCCCGGATCGTTAGATAAGAAACCAAAAATAAATAAAGATATAAAAAATATTACAACTGTATATACAAACAATTTTAAAGTTAACATATTTACGTCTCCAAGATTAACATTTTGTTTTTTTTTGTCTATTTTTTCAAGACATACATATAAAAAACAAGAATCAAAATAGGAATTGATCAATTCCTATTTTGATTCTTGTTTTTTTATATGTATGTCTTGAAAAAATAGAGTTTTATTCGTATTTTGACATGTGTGTGTGTGTGTGTGTGTGTGTGTGTGTGTGTGTGTGCACGCGCGTCCCAACAGTTGTCCGACTTTTGCTAAAGATGTGGAGTGTGGTCGTTCACATCATCCTGCTCCAATGCTTGAGTGACAAATGGCATTTGCAATCCTTTTCTCATTTATCATCATCAGCAATGGCAGAAGCAAGGTCACTGGTAGGGCAACAGTGAGGTTTACATCCGACCCTTCGGTAAATGTACCAGGGTTGGAAGTTTTAGAACATAAGAATTATATTAGAATACTGCATCCCATAGAATATATTGAACCCTAATTGCCTAAGCTTATTGCCCCCCTTTCTTTGCGGCGATTGGCATCAGAGTATCAGCGGTCGCAGACAGCAGTGATTTGATTCCTTCTTTGAAGGTGGAACTGACCGGGCCCAGGCAAATTCAGAGTCCCTTCTACTCATCTGATACCATTGGGATTCGAACTCAGGTCTGTGTTTCAGCTGTTCATGGGTATACCAACTGCAAAGTAATTTGGTTCCTTCTACATACTTACCACTGTCAATATGGAGCAGCCTCTCCTCAACTGGAGATTCGTCATGCAGGCATGGTTCGGAGTACAGATGGACATACCTGCGTCGGCCGCTCTTTCGCTTGTAGTACCGCTATCCATCGGTTGGGGTCGCATGAGCTGCATTCGAGAGTAAAGGCGCTGAGCGAAGTTCGACATCAGATCTTTTTGAATTGCACTCAAACGCGCTGCCCTCTCCTCCACATCCCTTTCAAGTTCTTCAACTTCTTCTTCCAGTCTTGAAGCAGGGTCAGTATGCCGGGCAATGTCACCGCAGGCTGCAGCTCCAGCATCACTGCAGGCTGACGCCACAACACATTCGAGGTATGATTCAACCAATGCACAACACTGCTCATAACTCAGAATCCATTTGAGCTTACACAGCACAAGAGTTTATAAACAGTCAGGCTCAAAGACTGGATATAGGTATAGACAGAGTCCGTGAGGGTTGAAAGGGTTTCACCCAGTTCGTGCAACGATTGCAGATACCGGAGCTTGATCCCCAGACTTTCCCCAACCCAGTATACAGTACGTTTGTGGTGTTCGTTGACCCCGTGTGCCTTGAACCCACGACCTGTACCCAACCCCGTGTATAAATGCCTTGTGTGTGAAGCCCAGGTCGTGTGGATTTGATCTGTAGGTTTGTTGCTTAGAAGTCTTAGGTTTGTCCGTAGGTGTCCCAAAAAGGGCGAGTTTACAGTTGACCTTTCGAAAGGTCAACTGGCCATACGTCCTTTGAAAGGTCAGTAGGTCGTGGCAAGGTTAGGTCTCGAAGAGTAAGCTTGACCTCTCAAAGTCAGTAGAGGCAGCTTGTCAAATCTCTGAAAGGTCAAGAGTCCCAAGTCAACCCCGAAGGGGCACGTGAAAAGGCAGTCCCAGTCCAGTCCGTTTTGCAGGAAGTACCAGAGTGGGACTGCACATCTTGAGGGCCTGGGACATCGGGCAGGCCCGGACCACCAAATGAAACAGTATAAATATAGAGGCAGCGATCAGTCATTCACTCATTCTGAGACAAACTATGTGGAAGCACTGTTTGAGTGTCTTGTGCGTGGAGTCACAGGTGGTCAGCAGGAGAGCCTGGGTTGAAGAGGGCAAGCGGCCATAACCGCTTGGAGGAGGAAGACGACGGCGGCCATAGCCGCCCGCGTGTATAAGATAGAAGATAGAAGATAGTGTGTGTGAGTGCAGACATTCAGGGTAGATCCAAGTGTTGTGCGTGTACGTGGGTGTGAGTGTGTCTGATTGTGGATACAGTGTTCGGGTGGGAATTTTAGACTGGTGCTCAGACGCCACAGCCACAAGATGTGACAAGTTGTCTTGAGCCGAGTTCCTGGCCGCAGGCCATATCCCTGAGTTTTCTGTGTGGGCGCACTGCGCCATCTCAAGCTTGTTGCTGATTCTGCTTTGAGGAAGTTGTTTTGCCATCGGCATCTGCATGGATGCATGTTGGACATGAAATCGAGACGAGTCTGAATTCAGGGCCTAAGGGAAACAGGAGGGGAGGAGTCCCATTACAGGGAGCGAGAGGCAAGTAGGTCGATCCCATCAGCCGTCATCTCTTCGCATTCCTGGTTTGCAACTTCTGTTGCTCGGAACTTGAGGACATCAAGGAAGTTCCTGCTTGTGAGCTGCACTTTCGTCGAACTTTCATCCCCCACTAGACAATACAATGAACGTCCACCCCCAACCCCCTCCAAAAAAAAAGAAAAAGAACAGAACCCACAATCAGCATCCACCCAGAGAAGGGAAAAAAAAAAGGAAAAGAAAGGAAGGAAGCAACCAGAAAAGGTGATGTCAGAACTTCAAAGTTTCAATGTCATCAGTCACAAGACTCACAAGCTTACTTATTATTATTATTATGCCTCTACAGACAGCAGGACACATGCCCAATTGGACAATGTGCATGGAGCCAAGGATCCGCAAAGTGATGAAACGGACTGGAATGGACAATGCAATGTCAGCAAAGCATCGACAAGCAATGTACATCCCTATACATACAAAATGGCACAATGTAGCGCAGTGGAAGAATCAAAGATAAGGCCTGACCTGTCTGAGACTGACATGACATCCCATCATACACCACACATGTGAGAAAAGGAGGAGGGACCGCATACACAGAAGAAAGGTCCCTCCTTGTACACGCACATGGGTGAGATACCACAGATGAAAGATGGGGGGACAGGCGAGACGAAGAAGGAGGCGAGGGAGAAGACCAAGATTGTGATAGTGAAGCCCAAAAGTAGTCCCTTGCCGAATGTCCCATCAATGTCTGCCACACAAATGTCGACTCGGATCCTGGGCTATATGCCCGATGTAACCTCTGCCTGAAGAAGAAGAAGAAGAAGAAGAAGAAGAAGAAGAAGAAGAAGAAGAAGAAGAAAGGAGGGAGGAGGGAGACGAGATGGAGACACGACGAAGAAGAAGGAGATGTCGTCTTCCTCGCTGTCTCACCTGCAGGTAACCGGTGCAGGTTCTGACCGCTGCTATGTCGTCGTCGTGTGCAGGTCGACGCACACGCGCGGAGCCCCAGCTATGGCTCCAGGTAGGTCCGCTGCTGCAGGTATGGCCTCCGCCCCTCTGCCTACCTACTCTCTACCTCTACCTCAGGTGCAGCGCTAAGTGGCACAGCGCTAGTCCAGCAGCGTGTCGCTCAAGTAGTGAGCTACCCGAACTGTGTCTGTCTGGCTGTGGCCCAGCTATCTATAGCGCTGGGCCGGCTGGTCTGCCCCTGTGTGCCTACCTGCGTGTGCCTCAAACGTGTGCCCAAAACGTGGGCCTACAGGGTCTGGGTCCCTACCGGACGTCCAGACCCTGTACCTGGACAGGCGCGGCCTGCCTCCTGGTGTACCCAGCCCAAGGCACCGCCTTGGGGACTGCAAGTCCGAAAAGACGTCTGAACAGACAAAAATAGGACAGCAAATAAATAAATAAATAAATGCTCTCGTACAACCGTACCTGCAGCGTAAGGGCCACCGGGGGCCTCCAGGGCGCGTGTCTGATGGACATGCAGCCTGCGGGCCCCTCAGCAACCGTCGGGCCCCTGAAATGGTGCCCGTGTGCAGGCGCAGCATGTAACACAGCAGCAGCTATGCATCCGCACATCTGAGCCCGAAGTCCTCAGCGGTGCAAGCAACAGATTCCAACCGGCGACCTTGGCCTCAAGAGCCAAGTATCTTAACCACAACAGCCAGGACACGGCGTTCAAAAGTGGAACCGTACCTATCGTGATATCCACCCCACCCCTGCAAGGCTGTAGAAACACAAAAACAACACACAACACCACACAGGGGACACGGCAATTCTCGCACACTTCGCTCCAATCAGCACAGACCCTACCATCGGCACTTCTTCCCATGCATGGGGGGACATATCACCCGCTGGTTGACGGGTGCTTCCACAGCAGCTATGGACAGAGAGGGGTTAAACCACAAGAACATGCCAGCCATCGGCCGCGGGCCCCTTTCAGAGGCCGCCTGCCCTCGATTTATTTTATCGACGGCGCGCGAGCCTCCGAAATCTTAGGAGAGGCTCAATCGCAGCTTGGCTGGGCCCATGTACTGGTGCTTTAAGATTCACATATGGTAGAGTCAGCGCACACCAAGAAAAGACAAATTCCAAATGAACAAGCCACAAACGCACCTCTACAGAGTCGAAATTATACTCACCATCCATCGCACATGAGTGGTGATGGAGGCTGTGGGGTGCACTAAGACTTTGGTGTCACGTGCCAAAAATTAGGAAATACGAAAATACATAAAAATTCGGAAATTTAGGGGGGGGGAAAAAAACTTTCTCGATTTTCATTAATTCAAAGAACAATGAACATGATTTTGAGGTAGCATCCCAGCTAAGCGCTGATCAGAATAACACTTCAAATTTTAAATCACATATGTTTGTTCAGAATTCCTTTTTTCAAGTTTTTTTAATATTTTTCGTGCCCATGCAGTGAGTGCATGGGCTTGTGTAGCTCCTCCTGCTTCTCCCACTGCGTCATGCACCACATGTGCACATGACATGCACAAGAAGTATATGGTCCAAAATTTCTTTAAATTTCTCTAAGATGCAAAGCTGTGTCATGCGCAACAATTGGCGCAAGCATGCCAAACAGGTGATTCAGCAAACGCTTGCAAGTAACCACTTCAAAAAAAAAAAAAAAAACTGAACTCCAGCCTTGGCTACCAGAGTGGTCCGGGGAAAGTTGCCCGCTCGGGCAAAACATAATATTAATAATATTATTATTATTTTATTATTATTATTTTTTTCAAATTTGGTAAAGAATTTTGATGTGAGACTGCGGCAAACGTTGTTCACTTTATTTTTGTGCACCACAAGGAAGCTCGGCTGTTTGTGCGGGCCCTTGGTCACCCAACTTGCGCCCAGATAAGCACCCAGGTGCTCGGCCAGGCATGAACCCGGGCAGGGTCCTGGACAGCCCCAGTCACCGCCAAACCCAAAAAAAAAAAAAAAAAAAAAAAAAAAATCTGGGAAAAAAATATGTTGTCTAGAACTGCAATACAAACCACTTTTGGCTGAGGGTCACATCAAAATTCCTCATGGAATTGAAAATAAAAAAGAAAACAACAAAATCAGTCTAAGGCACCCCCCTTAAAACCCCTTTAGCCCCTTAAAATCCAATTTACACCCCACTTCCCGCCCCCCTTGACACCAATGCTCGAAAAGGGAAAGGAGCCCGGA